TATTTAAAAGACGAGTAGATGAGGCACTTAGGGACATGGTTTAGTGGGCATGGTGGTGTTGGGTCGATGGTTGGACTCGATGATCTTAGAGGTCTTTTCCAACCTCAATGACTCTATGATTCTATTCTATGATTCTATCTAAGTCAGCCCAGATGAATTTCAAAATTGTTATGAAGACAATCATGTGGTGTGGATTTTATGTACATCATATCTTTTGAGGAAAAAAGGATTTGAATGTTCTCAACACTATTTTACACTTCTTAGCAGTACTGCCTCACTAAGTTCATGCTGGTAAAAAGAAAGTTACTTTAGATACATAAATACACATTGATTTACATATTCAGTATAGTCCAGGCATTCAATGTCTCTCCCCCTTTCTCCTGATTTACCATATGAAGACACAGCTTATTTTGTTCAAACTTACATTTGGTGAAATGTATTTGTCATCATAATCCACTTCCAAGGGAACTGCAATCAGTTTTTCGAAGGCTTTTTTCATTTGCTCACTGTTTCCAAGAGCAAAATAACATAGGATCAAGTTGAAGCCTGCCTTCAGGTTTGGGGACATGCTCATTATATGTTCAAATGAAGAAATGGCATCAACGTATTGGCCAGTTTTAATAAATGCAACTCCGATATTTTGCATTATTTTAATCCTAAGGAAAGAAATCAGGATTAGGTTATATTTTTAACTATCAAATCATATTGTATCCAAAACTTGCATTTCAGAACCATGCCTACTAGTAGAAACTCACCTCATCTCTTTGTGGACACTAGGAATCTGGTCTAGAGCCATACGATAGAATTTGATAGCTTTGGAATAGTTCCGTTGTTTTAAATATATATTTCCCATATTCACCTTCAGTCTACCTATCAAAAGAAGTCAATGAGTTACAGCCTTCTAAAGCATAGTTACAGCATTTTTTAAATTGTTTCAAAGTGACAGAGTAGAACAACTTCTTAATAAATTTGTCTTCATTATAGGGTACCAATGGGCCTTTAAAGAAGCACTGCACAGAACAGCCTTCTGTGAATTTTCACTCAGAAGGAGATGAAGTAGTAATGAAACCCAGAAAAGAACTATCAGTGTAAGAACTATCAGTGTAAGATGTATTCTGATTTTGATTGTGAATTGAGGGATGAGGTACAGATTATTTATACTGCTCTCCAGGAAGACAGCTGCAAATAAGCATCTCTGAGAAAAGTGCACTGTAGGAGTCTCAAAGATGCGCAAAATACTAAAAGAAGCTTTCAGAAGGGGAAAGCTGAGTCAAAAGGGAAAAAATTAGTATTAGAGCAGACAACATAGTGTGTGCTGCGTGAGAAAATTATATACTTGGCTTTACGTTTAGCTTAGCCAGGAAAGACTTCATGAGTTGGAGAGCCAAACCACAATAAGTTATACTAAGTCAAAGATTATGAGTATCTGTCATCCACTCTGACTGGCAGACATGAGGGCTGAGATCTCTGTAAGTCAACACCACGCAGATGAAGTCCTTATTTTGAATGCCTGACTATCAATTTTAATCCACCTTGGAGTGTACCCTACCTCCATTGCTGAACATCTTGTTCTTCACTATAACTTGATAAGTATTCAGTGCTTCAGCATACATTTCATTAGCAGCATATTGACTGGCCAGATTGAAAAGAACCTATAGAAAAATGGAATTATAGGTACAAGAAAATAACATTCTCTCAACAGTAATAAACTTTAATTTGAAATTATCTATTATGAATTCATTTACCTTAATACCAAAAGTATTGCTTTTACCAGTTTTAAGCTTCCCATCTTTAATGTTCCTTTGTTCTTGTACATTGACATAAAGAAAAGTTTCAAATCTACTTATTCTTGGTAATTCTTTTATTTTTGTACTTAAAACTTTTACTTTTGTACTTAAATAACTACCATTAAAAGTTATGCTAAGTGGGCCTTAGACCTAAGTAAATGCAATGTTATAATGCAAGGGTATTAAAAAAACATTCATACAAGGTAATTCTTGTATGTAATTTATGACTCCCAGTATGTGGAAAATGGTCCTACTACCTGTGTTCACTCAGTTTACGGAGAGAGAATTTTTCCAAACTGCTGTTTCAAAACAGAAATTCTGTTGGTGTCAGGTAAAATATCTCCACTTTTCCCCAGCTTTACTCTGACCTTCACCATAAAATAAATTACTAGGTCTGCCTAACTCAATGTATTCATTGTTAATAATTTTCTCTACAGCACTACCTGGTGTACAACTTTAAATTCCCCCTAAGTATTATGTTGTATCCTTTTTTTACAAAAAGTCTACTATTAATTTGAAAACCAGAATGTAAATCTAGATACCTGCTTTAAGATTCAGGATTTAGGAATATTAATACATCCTATTTCATGTAATATATTCTCTGTCACTTTATGGTTCAACTTAAAGGCAGTGTCTGATCTCTCCTGTTTTCTTCTCTTGGCATGTTACATTTTCTAGACTATTTTTGAAGTACTGGGTTTACATCTTTTATATTTTGATATGCATGTTCTATATGTGAGTAGGTAGCTGGAATAGATGCTCATGGGCATCCTTCTTCACTTAATGTGGACTACGTGGTTTCTCTAGTACTGGAGCTTGCAAGGGAATAGACTCCATGATATAAATGGATCTTTGCAATCCAGTGTTAAGTTTTTAACTTCAAGAAGTCATTCACTTTATCTTCATAAACTTCCCCTGCCCCCAAGCGTAGACTGTATCTGATCTGGTACACTGCTAGGAGCATTACAACACACACGCACTCCGCAAGCACTGAAATTTCTCTTTAGAAGGTTTGCTATCAACATCTTTCACTCATTGAAGATTTCCAAGCACTTACTGAGTAAGTGAGGTCTAAGTTGATGTTTTCTGCAGTAGCAATTTGTTCACGTTGTCTCACCAATACTCTTTCCTTTCTTCCAGCCTCTTTTGCTTTTTCCAGAGCCTTAAATAAAATACTAGAATTTAGCAATGCCTCGAATCTTACTAACCCAAGACAGCAAAAATACATTCAAAACAAGTATGAAAAGAATATACTCATGTCCATTTTCTTTAGATGCACAGATTGTACCCGATGCCTGAAAAGTAGCAATATAACCCACAGAAAGGTGTTAATTAGCAATAAGCAGACATACAGTCATCTAAGTCTTCTTAGCTGTATAATTTTAGAGAAGTATAGTCACACACATATATACACCATAATCACTTACGACCCTAGAAGATTCTATGATTAATATAAGTAGAATAGAATAAAGTACACATAAGTGTTTAAAAAAAAAAAAGGAAAAAAAAAGAAAAAAGAGGGAGCGTTTAGGCTTTGGCATGTTTCCTTAGTTGCAGAACCCCAGTGCAAGAAGGTGCTGAAAGGAAGAAAGTGAAGGCAGGAAGTAAATGCGCATGTTACACAAATGTATGCTGTACATACACCTTGACTAATTCTGGATGCTGGTAAATTGCTTCCCTTTTTTAGCTATCCACAAGTGGTATTTCACATATACGTTCACAATTTGAGTAACTCCAAAATTACTATTTTATCCAATGATAATCTTCCGCAGATTGGTGTCAAGACCCTTCATGCAAGTAATGCTACAGGTCTACAAGTGCCATCAGCAGTTCTGTATGCCTCTGCAAGGGCGCAATGGTTAAAAAAGTAACGGCTAGCATTCAAGGTAGCTATTTGGCAGTTAGCGGTGAAGGAAGTACTTCTCAAGATATAGCTTGATTCTTAGTCCTTATGATAGAAGGCAAATCCAACTTGGCTGTTTTATAGATAATGAGCTGGCAACTTTGATGACTTCTGCAGGAAAACAGATAGTCTGCTGGACTTGTCAGAAACTAATACAAACATCCTAGAGGACCCTCAGAATGGTCTGGTATAATCTACATAAGAAACAACCCTTTGACATCAAGAAACAAAGAACACTCTTGGCCACACATGCAAGAGGCTCAAGAAAAATTAACAAAACAGGTTGGCTCATCTCCTAGTGAAGGTGAAATTCAGACATTATATCAGAAATAAATTAGAATAGGTCTGTAAGGATACTTGTCGTAAATGAACATAAAAAAATGGATAGACTTCTTTCATACTCTCTGATCAGAAGCTATCAGCAGCAGAAAAAAAAAATGTTTTATTACAAAAGTGCAACATAAGAGGGTCCACCCTTCAAGTTGACAAAGATCCATCCAGTCTAAACACCAGACTTAAGTCCCACTTTAGGACTCAAGAGTTTCACTGTTACAAACCTTCTTGTTAATTCCCCAAGGAAGTAAACTCCCTACAGTGTGGACTGCTAGGTGAAGATTTGCTAAGTGAAATCCCTCTCTCCAAAGGAGCTATCAGGCTATTAGCTCAACAGATAATCCAAAAATCATTGGAAAGGAGTGTGACTGAGGTAGACCAGGATTCCAAACGGTTGTCCTAGTAGGCACAAGCATAAAGGCAGTCCTCACACAGTACAGTACCATCCTGATATCAGAACTGTCTAGGCTGACCTACCACAATCAAGACGATCAATGTTTGATCTTGTCTTAATTTGATCAGGATCACTGGAATTGCTGCACAAACTGAAGAAAGGCATATACCAGGCTTTTTAACCAGAGAAACAAGAATGCATTCAGAAAGCTGGGACAGCTTTTTTCTCAAAACCAATTGATACAATGCTTCTTTGTAGTAGACAAAAAGATATGTGATGTTACCCATCCTGAAAGGCAGTCCTCAAGACTACTGAAATCTTCCAGTCATAGTCTAATAGGGTAAATGTCCTATTCTGTATTTGAAAATATTCACACTACATGAGACATAAAATCACTGACAAGAAAAGTACACTCTTGCTGTACTAGTTCCAGAGGGGTCCCTCAGGGGGTCCGTATTGGGACCCATACTGTTTAATATCTTCATCAATGACATAGACAGTGGGATCAAGTGCGCCCTCAGCAAGTTTGCAGATGACACCAAGCTGAGTGGTACGGTCGACATGCCAGAGGGACAGGATGCTATCCAGAGGGACCTGGACAAGCTGGAGAAGTGGGCCCGTGTGAACCTCATGAGGTTTAACAAGGCCAAGGGCAAGGTCCTGCACCTGGGTCAGGGCAACCCCCAGTATCAATACAGGCTGGGGGATGAAGGGATTGAGAGCAGCCCTGCCGAGAAGGACTTGGGGGTACTGGTGGATGAAAAGCTGCACATGAGCCAGCAATGTGCACTTGCAGCCCAGAAGGCCAATCGTATCCTGGGCTGCATCCAAAGAAGCATGGCCAGCAGGTCGAGGGAGGTGATTCTGCCCCTCTCCTCTGCTCTGGTGAGACCCCACCTGGAGTACTGCGTCCAGCTCTGGAGCCCTCAGCATAAGAAAGACATGGACCTGTTGGAGCGGGTCCAGCAGAGGGCCACCAAAATGATCAGGGGGATGGAACCCCTCTCCTATGAAGAAAGGCTGAGAGAGTTGGGGTTGTTCAGCCTAGAGAAGAGAAGGCTTCGGGGAGACCTTCTTGCAGCCTCTCAGTACTTAAAGGGGGCTTGTAAAAAAGATGGTGGCAAACTTTTTAGCAGGGCCTGTTGCGACAGGACAAGGGGGAATGGCTTTAAACTACAGGGGGGTAGATTTAGACTAGATAGAAGGAAGAAATTTTTGACGCTGAGGGTGGTGAAACACTGGCACAGGTTGCCCAGAGAGGTGGTAGATGCCCCGTCCCTGGCAACATTCCAGGTCAGGTTGGACGGGGCTCTGAGCAACCTGATCTAGTTGAAGATGTCCCTGCCCACGGCAGGGGGGTTGGACTAGATGACCTTTAGAGGTCCCTTCCAACTCAAACTATTCTATGATTCCAAAGGTAAACTGCTGTTTTAAAGAAAGGAGAAAACCTCGTGCCAAGTATGCTTCTTAATGAAATGCTGGATATTTCTCTACAAACAAAAGGCAGCTCCTGCCACTGTAACATGGAATATATCACTACAGGAGGCCTGAAACATGTAAATAAAGGATTACTACTTAAGAAACCCGCCAAATGTAGGTAAGATTGTAAGGATAACATATGCAGCCTGATAAGAAGCATCATACAGGCACACAATATCACCTTGCATAAAAGAGCTAAGGAGGCCTTCACTGTGTGTGGAAAGCACCGGACAATATAAAGTCCCTTCAAGATAAGAAAGCCCTCACTACCACTGGGTCCAGCATAGCTCCAGAGAGCTGAATGAATTCCAGATCTCAATGCAAAGACAAAGACTTCTGAACAAAGATGATCTATCAAAAGATGGACTGCATGCTTCTTAACAGATCCAAACTGCAGCTAAGACTACCCATACATTAAGACAGCTGAGTAAGATTAAATGATGCTGTACCCACCATGTTTTACAAGACCTAAAGAGATATTTGAAATTGTCTGAATCAGAGCGTGGATAAATACTCCTTTGTGTCAGAAAAAAAGACAACATTTATTAAAAGTGCTAACTTGTCCAAACAGCTTGAACTCACTAATTACATCTATACTAGATGTAAATCAAATGGGCTAGAGCCTGTTATTCAGCCACTACTAACTGGCACAACATTGCTCTAGTACCCTCTACAACAGATCAAATACATTCAAACTGCCTACTGGAAATAGTTCCTTATCCATAGTAACCTTCAGCCATATCTAGGAACTGTTTAGAAAAATGCTAGTTAGCCTGGGCCAAAACTGTGCCAGTAACCAATCCACAAACCTATTGATTGATTCACAAATATAGACATTGTGTACAATGGACAAATGATGCCATTTTCCTGATTTGTAGCAAGGCTCAGACCATTACAGACCATTTGCAATCTTTGTAACAAATTTTGGAGCTCTTAGTCTCCAAAACATGGGAATTTGATCAAACCAAAGGCCATCTAGCCTAGGATCTGTATTGGACAGTATTAAGCAGATCAGGAAAGATGCTTTACCCATTCTTGCACTCTAACAATACCTCCTCAGAATACACTCCTAGACTAAAAAAATTTTGCAGCTCAGATGACTGAGCAAGAAACATCATCTCTCATAGCTCTAGCTAATTTTTTCCCCTTATGGATCAGATGCCATCAACTTGAGAGGGCAACAGATGAGCACAAAGGAAGTCTACATCCCTAAGAACCCAATGTATCTCATTAATTTTAACAGTTGAGCCTGCTCTGCCTCCAGTAGTTTAGGAGCTGGAACTGGCCAGTCCAAAGCATATGGAATAAAACATAAGCCTGGTCCTAAGAGGAAGAGTTAGATGCTATTTTGACACACTGGAACCCAAGGTTAATGTGCTTTATTGCCACTGTCCTATGAAGGATACTGGTGTTTGCACTTTAGGGTTTGCTTAGCTTGGCAGGTCCCCTTGTCTGAAGGACTGAAAGAAGATGAAATAGTTCATCTTGATGCTGACCTCTTATGGTGCAACAAAAGCAATATAGTGTCTACCATATGCTATAGCACCAAACAGCCCCTGACATGAAAGGGTACTGCGGAGGTGGCTTAAGTGAGATTGACCCTGGTGCTGAGCACCAGTCCTGGATGAAAATTACATTATCCAAAAAGCCCAAGCAACATCAAGGAAATAGAATGTCACTTAGACAAGATCCTTACACGTCTGAGGATGAAATGCTGCAAAGATGCCAATTACAAGCCTGGTATTGAAGAAAGGTCACCCACTCCCACAGAGTCCATAGGTTAGACTGGGCAAATCTGTGCCAGTATGACTAATTGATCAGACCCATTTGAAGAGGCCAATGGAGATATGGGAAAGAGCATTTTTGTAACACTGAAATCTTAACAAATATATACACAAGAAATACAGCTCCTACCTTTTTTTTGGCAATACAAAGCATCACTGGATTAGAAGAGTCGTAGCAAAATTAGAATTAAGATTTTAATAACTTGAAATGTTTGAACCCAAGTCAGTTTGAAACATCTATGTATACAAACTGTTCTTCACATAATAGCAAAAGTGAAGTGAAATCCAGAAAAATTACCAATTTCAAGTCTCCACAGCTGTTGGCAATGCAGCTTTCTTCAACCAGTTCATTCACTTTTTTTTCCAACTGCCTAATCTTCTCTTCTGAACTAAAATAAAAATAACAATAAAAGAATTAACACTAGTAACGTAACTGCAAACACTGAGCTTTTACACAGGATAGTCTCAATAAAACAACATAATGATGTATCACATCACAAATAGCTGGTTTTCCCATCAAAGAAAATATAATGTGAAACTATGCCCAGAGAAGATCCTCCAAATATATCACATTCACACTTTTAATTTGAGAACAGAGACCTAAGAAAACATAAATCCTCTTATAGATAGAAGACAGACATGCAAATTTCATGGACCCAATTTGTTCAGGAGAAGTAATGACAGAACAAACAGATGGGCTGGTAAAACTTTCAAATCAAACACCTAGTGAAATGAAATATTGTATTAAGAGCAATTAATTGAACCTTTAATTGCATAGATAACTTTAAAATCTGCATTTGCAAGCTATACTTTAATAAAAAGTTGTTATTAATCTAGATTTTTTTCTCAGTTAAATAACCAAACATTTCAGCAGGATTCCCTATTCCTACGTAGCTGTATTTGAGGAATACAACTTTTGTATTGAAAAGCTCAATTACTTGTTCTCAGTGAACTCCCCAACATTCACACCAGCCTGCAAAACTTTCACAACCTCAGTTTTACCTCAAGTGCTAAGGTCAGAGTGAACAGAGAGAAACAGCAGGCAAAATTCCCCCAAGTTCTTCCCAGAGAGCTGCATGAATCATGGTGTTTCTTGCCTGTCACACACTCTTCCATAATCCTCCACAATTCCATATAAGCATCACAGCATTTGTGTGGCAACAACTACGTCCAGGCTGCTAAGCTACAGTCAGAACCAGAAACACTGAAAACAGACATTCCTGAAAGTCAGTGCAACTGCTCTGGCGAATCAGCTAACCACATGCATAAATGTTTGTGGCATTATTCCACAAAGTTGAGAGTTTGGCCCCTCAAGGTTTCATAACTGCCTGGATGTTTTTAAACTCTACTCATGGTTGTTTCTTTGTTGCTGTTAATGCTTTGAAATAAATTAATGCAAAACTGAACAAACCTGTCTGAATTTTTCATTTCCAGAGGTGGAGCAGGACCTCTTGCTTGGCCAAGAGGATCAAATGAAGAACCTGCAAAATTAACAGAGTACTGAAAATTGTAAAATAACATCTCCCTCTGGCAGCTGGTGATTTCTACAAACCATACCTCTCATGACTGCCTTAGTGTAACCTGCAGCATGCACTGCTGTCATTGGTCGAGCAACCCCATCCTTAAATAAAAAGGAAGACATATTAAAATAATCTTCCTAAAAAATAGATTGTGGACGGTACGGACATCAGTTACATATTACAAAACCGTTAAATACAAAAATCAGTTGTTACCACCTCAGCAAACTGAATATTTTTTAAAATGTTTTTATTTCTCAAATATTATACATCATATAATATGGGTTTGTTCAGCCTTGAGAAAAGAAGGCTTAGGGGAGACCTTATCACCATGTTCCAGTATTTAAAGGGTGGCTACAAAGAAGATGGAGATTCCCTTTTTACAAGGAGTCACATGGAAAAGACATGGGTACAAGCTACTCCTGGGAAGATTCCGACTGGACACAGGAGGAAAATTTTTCACAGTGAGAACAATCAGCCATTGGAATAATCACCCCAGGGAAGTGGTGGATTCCCCAACATTGGACATTTTTAAGATTCAGCTGGACAGGGTGCTGGGCCATCTTGTCTAGACCATGCTTTTGCCAAGAAAGGTTGGACCAGATGGTCCTTGAGGTCCCTTCCAACCTGGTATTCTATGATTCTATAATAACTGTCTACAAAGTAGAGGAGCAAACACTATCGGGAAACCGTAACTGACACAAAGGAACACTTATTTCTTTGTGTAAATTTTGTATGTATTCAGAATACTTAATTTCAAACATCTCTCATTTTTAGAAAATTCTTAAGAATTGTTGGTCTTGAGATCTGTAATGTACTCTAGCTTACTGTCACGCTGTTTTAGAACTCAGTTGCTTTTTTAATTTTTATTGACAATAAAGAGAATCCTATGATATTATGGAACAGAATGTTTTGCTTTATCTAAACCAAGAGAGGCACAAACGAACTACAATTTCTTTGTATTTGTAACTTACTACCAGACAATGCATCCCAGCACAAGAATGTTTGACCCCACACCATACCAGCTTATTAAACTTTCCTGTCAGGACACTGACAGGAAACCTTATATACAGGAAAACTAATAAACCTTAATGGCCCTGACCAGACCCACCTGGGCCTCCAGCCACACACCCTACCCATGGGTCCAGCAGCTTTATTTAAGCTTAACCCTGGTCCCTCAGCCCCTGCCTGAGCTTTGTTGCAGGACTACTGGTTTCCACATCAGGCACAACTATGCCTGGCCACAGAGTCCCTTGATCTAGATTTCAACCTGTGGACTGACCTCCTAGGTTGATCTTAGCCTTGCCTTGTCACTATGGACCTGGCCAGTGATCATTGGTCCTAACCTTGGCCTATGCATTGACTTATTGGCTTGACCTTGGACCTGCCTCACCACCATGATATTGCCTTATGTTCTGGACTTTTGGTTGGACATGGCCACCATTTCTGGGTTGATCCTACTTGCCTTGCTCAGGTATTGTGGGACTGGGTCCTGGCTGGTGAGGCCCCTGCACTGCTGGCCGTGCAATTTCCCTCTGGGGTCCTAGCTTGCCTTCCCTTAGGGAGTAGCCCTACTCTTGATGCTCCCTGATAATTCTTGTTCCCAATCTGGGCTGACACAAAAGAATATAGTAGCTATAGATATATTTAAAATTAAGTCAATATACTTAAGGAGGGTGGTGAGAAAGTCATTGGTAAATTGCAGCAGATTCTATTAGAGTATAAGTATATAAGAAAAACATGAAAACCAGAATCTACCTCTTTCCTATTTCAAAGAAAAATTATTCATTGCATGTCAGTAAGTGTTAAAAAGCACTACACTGGTATTGCTTGCAATCCTGTGCTCAAATTCATCACAACCCTCATGCTTTCTGACAGAAGCATTTTCAAAAAACGACAAATTAAAACAGTGTAATAATTTGTATTATTTCAATGAACTGTTAAATACTTGTATCAAACTCAAACACTTATCAGAAAACTTCATTGTTCCAAATCAATATAAAATGTAAATATTGAAACTTTTACCTGTATAGCCCCTGTCATTGGTCTTCCCATAGATGAAGTTAAAGTTGCCTTTGACTACAAAAATAAGTAAATTGTTTGAAACTAGAATTCACAAAGTATTAGAAGCCTGTAACGGCTTATGTACACTGAGTTTTAAGAGTTGATCTAACTCTCACATAAGTTCATACCAAAATTCCCATTTATGTTATTCATACACAATATACTGCCAGCGCCTGGCAGACTTAAAGATGTTGAACACTTCAGTTAGCACAAATTCACAATATTGTTTTTTATGTATTTGGATATTTCCACCAGACCTTTTAAAAAAAATTACACTGAAATTTATCTGAGGCAGCAGTATGTTCCATTATTAAATTATTTAAATTACTACCTTCAAATTGAACAAGTAATTTACACAAAATACTTCAGTAAGATTCTGAGTACAGCTGATGAGATATTAACATAGGGGCAGATTTTAAGTCATACTTTCATGAAGATTTATTTTACAACAAATACAGATATACTTTGAAATTGCCAATGGATATCTTTCCATTAGCTGACATGCTGCATACTGTCCTTCTGTAGCAGTGTTAAAAAATGTAAAGAAATAAATGTGAAATATTTAGTAGTAAGTGCTAAAGGTTGCTACATACAATACAAACAGACAAAAATAAAGGGTTTCAGGCCATGAAAAAGTATTCCCCTAATTCCCACTCGGAGGCCTATGTTTTACTATTTTACCCACTATCCATCACACATTATGACTGTTTTTCATTTTTTCTGCTGAGGCTGAATCTACATTAACAAGGACTCTAGTGTAGGAGAAGCAAATCTGCAGAGTGAAACAGGTAGTACTGTGGACTGGACAATGCTTTGGAGGTTTCTAGCTCTACTAATGCAGATAAACATTTCAGTCTATTATCCTTAGGAAGTGCCTTTTGGTGCACTCCTTTAACAAGATAGCTTTTCCAGTCACAGCATGGTACTACACTAAACATCTGCAAACACAACTGCTAAGAAAAAGCAGTCTCAAAAGGAAGGAGCAGGTAACAGAAGGTTAAGAGTAAAGGTTGAATTTCAATGACTTATAATAGAATTTAGGTGTTCTTGAAATTGTTATCCAGCTAATTTGCGTAAGAGATCAAAGCAAAGTAATCTCCCTTCTTTATTTGTCATAAAACTTACAGGAACTTTATATCTAAGAGCATCGTCTTTTCAAATTTGACTGAGACAAGCTAACAGGTTGAAAATTTATTGGGATAAGGGGACAGTGGATATATCACTAGTGCCTAACTTCTGTTTCCATAGCAAACCAGGTTAAAGCATTAATTATTTAAGAGTTACAATGGGTTAAGTATACCAAAGAATATAACCAACTTTTTCTGATTAAACTAGAGGTGATTTGAAAGCCCATATTTTTTAAGACTTAATTTCACCTTAACTTTCAGAAAACTTTCCCAAGCCCAAATAACAATCCATCCAGTTCCCCCTGCAAGAAAATCAGGTTAATACCTCGGAATCTACTGCCTTATGCAGTACAGAAGTTGATTTGCTGTATGGTTTGGGGGGGAAAAAAAAAAAAGAAAAAAGAAAAAAAAAATCAGTATCCATGCCTTGACCAAGTGTGGAGTTGTTAAATTCATTAATTAAAATTAATGAATACATGTAGTTCACTGGAAGGAAATACTTAAGATAAAAAGAGCTCACTTTGTGCAACGGATTAAATGGTGAGTTTATTTTTTCGTAAATACCTCATTTTCATTAAGAATACAACAGAACAAAAACATACCCCAAATCCAGTAGCTAAAGGTCTTGAAGCTGATGTACCAGGAATTTTGGCTGTCACCTGGGTTGGAAAAAAAACAAAACCAACCAACCAAACCAACCCCCACCAATTAACAACCATATGTGTTAATTATCAGTCTTTCTATATAGTTTCTATAGTGAATTCATAGAAATAATGCTTCAATTGTTATAGAAAGGATTCTCATTGTAGAACAAGATTATTCTGGCAAAGAAGTAACATTAGACAGTTCCAGCTCTTCTTTAGACATATAGTATGTACTTCTAAAGTGCAGGTGCCAACTTTAATTTTCTTACTTTCATTTAGCTGTGACTTAATCATATCAGTTTTCAAAACTAAATATAATGTAAATTATATGGAGGAAAAAAAGATCAGAACAATAACACACGGTTTTCTAAATCCCACTGTCTAGTATGTATCTCAACCTTATAATTATATGTCAGAGCAAGTAATTCTATGTGTAGAGTATTAAACGAAGTCCTTTCAGAATGTATCATTTTGCTCTTTAACACGGTTTTATCTCATTTGATCAAACAAGAATACACATTTCCAACTAAAGTTCCTTGCTTGCTCTAGCTTAACTCCAGAACTTAATGGAAGTTGTGCTCTGCTAATTTTTTACCCACTTTTCATATAAATAACTAAAGTCTGTATCTTCATGTTAGTAGTAGGCAAAAAAAAGATAAAGAGATTCCCAAGATAAGTTTGTACCAGTGCCAAAATTAGAGCTAGGGCTCTAGAGAAAGTCTACACTATTGCAATATATTTTAAAAGGTACTTACAGGGGGTCTTCTACCATGACTTGTTCTTGCTGCCTGTTGAAAAGCTACATCATTTTCTAAATCCTAGAAAAGATAAAATAATCAACCCTTTTAAAACCACAGCACCCAAAGCTACAATTCCAGAACCTTATGACTACTGAAAGCAGATAGGTAAAAAAACAGTTCTTCCAAAAATACTTGACTTGAAGATAACTGAATGACAGGTTTTACTGACAATAAATAATGATTATATTATTTGGTCAATCTTTTTTGGTATTTTAGATTAGGAAATGTAAAAAGTCATTATTCTCTGAAAAATACACACTGAGGAAGCAGAGCTTTAGTGATAAAATATAACATGAAATTTTATTTCTGTCCAAAAGCTTACTACTAGCACTACTTCTAAATTTTAACATTAATGCCTGTCATGCCAATACATTAAGGTATCTCATGTCTCTGAGGTCATGCTGTAACTCCCATAAATTTGGCATTGGGATTTCACACAAGATGCCAGGTCTTGCAACACTGGCCCTGCTTTGAGCAGGGTAGTGGGTTTGGACCAAACGACCCCCCTGTTGTTCCAATTCCACTACACCAGCAGTTACCAGAAAGTGGTCTGCAGGGTTACTGTAAGTCATCCCAGATGCTCTACCAATTGCACAGCGACCTGCAGGACTCCACTCTACTGTAATCTCCTTCAGCTGCAGCAGTAAGAGATCAATGACCTGTTGACCAGTAAGTAGCCTCTTTTATCAGAAAACTTGCTGCTGCACACTGTCTGGGAAACACCACATTGAATGTGCCTGAATGTGAATATGGCCTTCAAATAACTAGGATTTTATACTTCATAAATTCTAACCATTAAAGCATATTAATCTGCTATGAGATGCATACAAGTATTTTGTTGGAATAGAAAACTGTAAAAAAAAAAAACCCTATTCAAAAAGATCCTGGTGAAACTCTATACATTTATTGCTAAAGAAAATTTCACTTCAAAGCAGTAGTACACTTGCGCATTACTGTACCCATGTTTTTATCTTGTACTTAGAAGTTAAAATACTATGTATGGGAAAGGTGGGAAACAGCAAATATTTTTACCTCTGTGTCAAATGTGGGATTATAATCATTGTAGCCAGAATAAAGATCATCTTCATCATCCTCAGGAGCCAGATGCACATTTTGCATCATTTTTCTGTGAAACATTTAACATGCCAAATATTATCTCAGTGATTTTATACAAATCTTTAAAAATGTTAAATATAAATAGCAATAAGGTTTACAAGTTCAAAAGAGCTCCAATTTCATTTTTTAATTGCTGCCTTTGAAATTAAAAATAAGCTATGATTAGTCATAAAAGCTAGGGTTCACCTATAAACAATATTAAATTGCACCATTTCATAGAATTAGATTTTGTTAGGTATTTATACCACTGTCATGAAAATTGTTTTAAAGATATTTATTGTTAAAAGTAAATGATCATAACAAGTAACTGTACTACTTTTAGAATGGTAGCTTTACATTCTCAGATAATTCACATTTAAGATAATTCTCTCATATTCTAAAGTTTGCCTTTTTTTATTAGGCCAAACCATAGTAGTCAGTCTAATGAAAGATATCTCTTCTAGCTTCAAGTCTTCCTTCCTTTACCCGTGTCCTTACATCAATACAGCCACAGCTATTCTCTATATGCAATACTCTTCATATAATCTTGCCATTTCAACTCAAGCAGTTTTTAAAAATTAGAATTAAAGATGCCTGGGTTCCAATGTCTTTCTTCACAAATACTTCAGTGTCTAATACAGCTGCATTCACCTTATGGTCCTTCCCTCACTGAGGACACTAAGGAGGTCTCTCTTTGCCTGGCTACCTATTTTCATAAAAATCTGAAGATAACATTTGATTTCAGCTATAATACGAAATACATGCAGTTTGCCAGGTAAGCCTTAGCCAGGACGAAGCGCTGCACACCCCACTGAGGGACGGTTCCTCTCCAGCAGGAGGATGTCCCCCACTGCTTCCCACTTGGCTGGGGCCTCCTCTAAGCCGTAGGCGGTGCCACCACGGCCCGAAGCCGAATCGCTCCTTCTTGCGGGTTTCCTCAGCCAGCGCCCGAAGCGGGGAGCGGCGGCGATACGCCCCGGGTAGAGCGCGGCAGGTCGGCGAGAGGCTCAGGGAACCAACGCGACGGTGTCACCGCCCCCCCACGTCGGCACGGCGCACACAGCCTGCTCTCCGGTCACCCGCGGCCCGCTCCCCCTGCCCCGAGTGCGGCGGGGGCCGCCGGGCCCGGCCCGGGCCCCGTTGCTAAGGGGGACGCCAGCGGACGCGGTCCCCTAATGCACCGCGCCTGGTTGGTAAGAGGCGAGCGCGGAGCAGGGCGCAATCCGGGGCTGGTGCCGAGGATGCGCGCGGGCCCGGCGCATGCGCAGAGCGACCGCCGAAGCCTTTGCCCCCCTGTGGGCGTCGCCTGCTGTGACGGGACGGTCCCGCGGGAAATGGCGGCGCAAGAGCAGGCCGCGCAGGCGGAAGGGGCCTGTGCTGCTCGCAAAATTCATCCCATCGGCTGGGGGGGGGGGGGGGGGTGCGGGCTACCGCCCCTCCTCCTGCCAGGATCGGCTTGGGCGTGCTTAGTCTTGGGGTTAAAAAAAGAAAGCCAACCCTCATCTCGTTTTTGCAAATTAAATGGCAAGAAAATTCTGTCCTCCAAAATGCATAACTGCAGGGAGGAACCCGCACAAATCCAAAAATCTTCATGACCATCTTTTAGATGGGAAACTACTGCTCTGAACTCTTCTGGACAGATTTTTCAAGTGGATTACTGTTGATCACTGAGCTAAATGCGAACTAAATTCGACTTTTCGCTTGTTCTAGGACTTACTCTGAATTGATCCTGCAAACATTTAAACATAGACTTAATTTCCTGAGTTAGGTTATGCATATTTCCAAGATGGGAGCCTTGTGTGGTAAGGAATAAAAGTTGTGTCATATGATGGACATAAAAACAAATTTTGTTTCCCCCTATGCTTTCCTCATCTTCTGGAAGAGGAACACGAAACTACTGTGAAGGATGGCAGACTCGTCAGACTGCCTACCTTTAGTCTATGGGATAAGGAAAACATAAATGGAAACAAGATCTGTTGTCTGCTAGACATTGCTTTGCTGTGTGCAAATAAAAGTCTGTGACATGGATAATATTTACTGACTTCAAAGGGAAAATTATTAGGATAAATGAGTTAGTGTTTCCGAAACATTAAATAGTAATTAAAATTCAGAATGGGGGGAATATTCTAGACTTCTCCATAAGGGGGAATTTAGGATTACAGGATCATAGAATAATTCAAGCTGGTAGGGACCTCAGGACATCTCTCCCATCCTTATCCTTAGTTTAAATTTCTTTGTGTCTCTTCCCAAGAGTAAAGCCAACCTGCTGTCATTTTATGGTGAAAATTGGTTTTTTATGCTATAGATTTGCTATCGTGAGAGAAAAGCAAATCTACTATTGGAAGGTAAATGGCTTCTTGCATAGCTGTCAAACCTTGCGCTTCAGCACATGTCCCATACCTGAGAGCACCTCATCACGGTGTGTGCCCTTAGCATGTTTCTCAAGCTCCAGACTATTGCTGGCCTGTGCCCTCTGCAGCATGGTAGGGCTCCACCGGCAGGCACGGCTCTCGGTCAGCATCCGGCACCTCCAAGCAGAGACCTCATCACAGTCACTGCTCACTCTCAGGGTGCTCAGCCACACCATTTCTCAGCTGAGAAATCTGCTCTCAAAACTGAAAAGCTCAAAAAAAGTTGGTAAAGCTTCCCATCTGCCATAGTCTCTGAAACAAAATAAAAAATTAAAGACCCTAATATCTTAGAAAAAGATGATTCCTACTACCATTTTTACTACTTTCTCTTAGCTGGTATTTTGGAAACGCTGACAAGTGTCAGCTGGTTTGCCCACAGCAAATCATTACACTCCGGGGAAAGTTTCCCATGCCTAAACGGGAAACAGAATAGAGCAGGGATCTCTGAACATGCCTACAGTATTTTTGAGAGAGAAAATATTTTACGAGACCAATTGTAACCTACCCCTACTGCCTTATGCTAATGGCATAAGAAAGCTGCAAAGACAATATACAGTGCACAGTCAGTCAGAACACCCTTTTTATGGTTAGGGTTTGTGAGCACTATGCAATGTCACAGCTTTCTGCTGCTCACCTTCTTTCAGCCTCAAAGTCCTTTCTGAAGAGATAAGGCACAGAGGATATGAGTGAAAGGTCTTTCTACTCTGGCTCCCAACAAGAGAAACAAAGATAACATAAAGAAGTATTAAGACATTATCACTTCTTGCATTAACCTGTTCACGTTCCATGCGTGAACCACTTTCACAAAGAATCTTCAGACTTGAGACCTTTGGACATGAAAATCCTTATACCTGAAGTTTCTGGAATACAAGTATTTTGCAGAATAACAGACTTGAGGTGGGAAAAATTTTCAGGTGAGTTACTTGCCACAAATTATGAACTTCAGCATAAAAAAAAATATACACATTTCTAGCCCCTCTTTTCTGCCTGTGACTCCTCATATATAATTGAGCCTATGGTTTTTAGATTTTTCTAATTGTCCCCAGACACATTCATATGTACCTGAGCAGCAGGTACATTCTGTGGCAAGAGCCCTAGCTCTGCTACCCAGCTTGTCCATATCGGGGACCTGGGCATACTGGTGCCCAGCATATTCTGATGTTTCAGCCCAATTATCTAGGGCAGTGGAAAGAAGGCACCGTGATAAGGAGGCAGTGCATCTATCTTGTAAATGAAACGGTGCCGAGGCACCACTGGAATCTGACCATGTTCGTATTATCAAACTTTCGTATCCTCCAAAATTGGATGTATATGTTCAAACCAGCTATTGGAAGCAGTCTCTGGCCTGTATGGTCCGTGACCATACTGGGAATTGTTTGGGAGAATGATAACTAGCTAACACTATAACAGGCTATTTTAACCCCAGAGACAGTCAACTCCAGCGCCTGGTCCAGCCCCTGGAAATGCTGTATGTTGCCCACGCTGCCAGAGCATGCACGAGGGGTCAGGAGCTTGGGAACACTCCCTGGCCCAGCTCCTTAGGCCTCTCAGTCCAGCTACTACTTCTGACATCCTCACAACATGAGAGTCTCAACAGACTTTATTTATGTTTCTAAAAGCTGTGTCAATCTACAATTATTTTTTTTCTGGTGCTATGAAGTATAAATAGACTTTAACGCATGAAGATTTAACACAAACCCCAAAAATCTCAGGATCCTTTGTGGCAACACAGGACCTTACTCGTGGGTTGTGATTATAAGACATCTTCTTACAAGATCATGCTACAGGGAGAAACCCATATGATGTAATTGTCTTTACTGGTTTTGGCTAAATCCAGAGGGCAACCTGGAATGTGAAGCTGCCAAAAAAAATGTAGTAAATTTAGTATACAGCCCAAGCAACGTTGTATGCTGTGAATTCCTGATCATTTTAAATTGGATTAAGCCAGCACTGTCACTAAATGAAGTTGTCCCATTCTTTTCCCACTTTCTGATTTTCATTCCTGCCCCAGATCAGTCTTCTGACTGGCATCGAGTTAGATGCTTGTGCAGCTGAAGCAAACTGCAGATCTGATCAGGTTTTTGTTCAGTTACCTTTCAAGACATCAAGTACCTGATCCAGTAAATTCAGTGAAAACTTACGGCAGATTAAGGAGACCATGAAGCTATACTCTTAAACAGGATGAATTTCTCTGCCTTTCAATACATGGTGTATATGTCTTTTTGCAGCGGTAACATTGCAAATAAGGACTCAAACTGTCCCAGGATCTGCTAACTCAGGTTCACGGGTTACTGGCCACCGTCTGCCTGTTATAATCACCCGTTACACGTTAGCGTGTACCTTACCCTTGCTCTGGCAGTTTAACTGTTCGTCTGATCAGCCACTAACGAGTGTTTTTAGAAAATGGTCTGCATTGAAAAAGCAATTCTCCCATTATAATCTTTAAAAAGTAATTTTCTAGCATTGAATTCTGGACTGACTAGGTGTTCAGAATTTTCTGCTGTCATGCGGAGACCCTTCAGCTAGCTCGACTGCCACAAACAGTGAAGCTGCATTTAACTACTCCTCTGGGAACTAATGGATCTTGTCAGCATACCTCTAAAAATTACTGAAGGGAAGGAAAATATGGAATGCGTTTAAAATTAAAGCCTTTCTAATACATAACCTTTCAAAATATTTTTTGTAGTTGAAAATTTAAGATTTGAATGGTAATTGAAGTTAATGGTAACTAAATTTATTTTAAAGACAATTAAAAATTAAAGTCTCAGATCAAGCTCTTCCTATACTTGAAAATCCAAACTCAGCTGTTTAGTATTTTGCTGACTGGTCTATGTTACAGCCTTGATACTCTGGGCTCACTTACCTCACAAACAGATACATATTGCATGTTACTTTCCTCCGTTATCAAGTGTATGAACAGTCAGGGTGTTAAAATCTTTATATATTAGCTCATTATTTCTGTGCTGTTAAAAACACACCTCTATAGCACTTTTTAACATAAAGTTCTTCCAGTTAATGTTTCCTAACATAGAAACAATAAGTTAAAGAAGCCTTTTGTCTCTTGCAGGATATTTAAAAATCAGTTGTATATTTGTGATCTCTGAGTTGGTGTGCATAAACATATATAAATTATGTTAAGAGAATTCAAGTTAGAAAATAAAGTTTGTAGAGCTACTCTTGACACAATGATAAGTACAAGGATCAGAATGTTTTCAGGGTTAGGTTCTGCAGGAGGAATTAATTAGGTAAAAATATTTTATAGGTTAATATTGAAAGTTCTTAAAAGCTATTTCAGAACAATTCTAAAAGCGGAAAATATACAGTATAGTTCTGCTCTAAACATCAGTTTACTATATAGTCTGTATTTAGTAAAGCAAGTAAATAAATCAATATATGCACAATTTGAAAACAAAGTGGAAGAACCTCATTATGAATAATACATATGTTTTGAATAATGTATATATTGTAGTTTTGGTTTAAAAGACATTTGCAACAGGAAAATTATCTTGTTAACAGGTATTTTTACTATTAAAGGATATAATTCCATCTAGTTTTGCTGAATCATGTTTTTGTAATATCTATTTTACTACTATTTACTTTCTGATTCCTGCAGATAGCTTCTTTAAGAATCAGCATTTTAGCAATATTGGTAGTATTTGCA